TGTTCAGAGAAGGTTTACCATTGCCTTCCCTGAGGCTGAAAGAGTGTGACTTGCATATTGCAAGGATCTATGGGAGAGGTTCATTGTTCCAGTGGCACCCTGTTTATAGAATACCCTCCCCTTGATGAACTGGTTAATACCAACAATGGTTTCTTTAAGGGGCTATTTCTTTTAAAGTACACATAACAGCCAGCATGACATGGTGGCTTGGATGTTGGACTAAGACTCTGGGAGACCAGAGTTTGAACCCCTGCTCAGCCATGGAAACCCACTGGGTGACCTTGGGAAAGTCACACTCTCTCAGACTCAGTGGAAGGCCATGACAAACCCTCATCCGAACAAATGTTATTAAGAAAGTCCCGTGACAGTTTCATCATAGGGACAGTTACATTGGAAATTACTTGAAGAGGCCCAATAACAGTAACAACACATGATTTTAACTGTCTTAGCCTTTTCGGGTGTTTTAAATTGGTGATCTGTTCAATAGGCTTAATTGTATACTAGCCGGAGATCTTGTCGTTGAAGATGAGATCAAAATATTTATTTATTTATTTAATGAATTGCTGATCATTTGTCAAGACTCTTCCAGAGGTCTTCCTGCCATCAGAGGCAAGGTAGGTGGTGACGAGGCAAAGAAAGCATTTTGCATTTTGCTCCTTTTGTTTTTGTACAATTTTGTTTGAATAGAAAACATTGCCTCAAAAATATTGCATTTCCCCAAAAATTCAGTGCTTTCTATACAAAAGGATATTTTTAAAAGTCCAAAGCCACTTTCTTTGCACAAGGATTTTTTTTCTCACAAAATGTCCCCAAATGTGAAAAATTTCACAGCAGTTGACTATTTTCAAGAAAGGGTGCCTCAAAAGGGTCCGAACACCTTTTTTTCACCCAGAGTGAGCTGTAAGCAAGGAGGAAGAATGCTAAATCTAGCTTTTGCAAGTCTGTAGGTATTCTTGGTTCCTTTCTCATCCTACCTCTTCTCTGCTTTCAGTGTTCCCAAATAAACAGCTCAGGCTTGCTGAGCTGTTCTTTTGCTCTGAGCTGCCTCCCAGCCATGCGGAAGGAAGGAAAGCGCCAGAAATTAAAAAGGGAATGAGAGTGTCAACAAAGGAAGAAGGAGGAGAGACTTAATTGAGATAATTTTAGCTGTTCAGAACAGCACAGGCAATCTGCAAAACCATTTGGAGAGGGAAAAGGGAAGGGGAACAACCTTCGCAAAGGGCTCCGGAATCTGTACCAAATAAGGAGAAAATGGGGAAAGGCGGAGGAAAAGGAGATCCAAGGACCAGGTGGGTAGAAGAATAAGACCCAGTTACATAAAGGCTTACATTTCTTCACTTTTATTTCCCAGAATGTTGTACGTAATGTATTTGGTGGTCCATTTGAGGTCTTATGATGATGCTAGGCAGCGTTCCTAAACTCCTTCGCACATTAGTCTTCATTGTGTGCATGTTTTTGTGCGGAAAATGTCCTGTCTTCAGTGGGCACAGTTCAGTACAGAGAACAAGAGGAACATAGGCTGCATCTGCACTGCAGAATTAGTGCAGTTTGACATCGCTTTAACTGCTATGGATCAATGCTATGGAATTCTGGGATTTGCTGTTTTGTGGGATATTTAGTCTTCTCTGTCAGAGTGTTATAGTGCTCCAATGAACTACAAATCCCAGAATTCCCCAGCATGGAGCCATGGCAATCAAGGTGATTTCAAACTGCATTAATTATGCAGTGCAGATGCAGCCATTGTGGAAGGATAAATATTACCAGCAATTTCTCACTCTTTCTCTTCATTCTTGATCTCTCTCTCTCACCTTGTGGGGAAGGGTGTTGCATCAAACTGTGCATACATTTCCCACTCACATTTTCTACTAAATTACACTCATCCCTCCCCGTTTGCAGACTTGGAATCCATAGTCTTGCCCATTTGTGGAAGTCAAGCAGGGAGGAATGCATGTACGGCACCGCAAGCAAGAGCGTGTGGCCATTAAAACAAATGGGACCCCAATGTTGGTGATTTTCCTGATTTGAGGGGTGTGTGTGTGTCTGGATGGATCCTGCACAAATTGGAAGGGATGATTGTATTTCTTTGTGCATTTTAATTCATATATTTTCCCATTGACTAAAATAATGTTTCTGTTTAGGCCCTCATATATTAAGATGTGCATGCTAGCTTTGTGTGGATTTTATTTCTCAGAAATACCCCATAAGTTTAACCAATGTGTCCATTGTCAAGGTAAGGTGGATTTCTTCTCGCAACAAAAGTAAGAACTCTGCTTTCATCAAGATTCTCAAATTAAACAAAAATTAAGCCTGCATGAACAGAGGAAAAAAGTCCAGATCAATAGAACAATTCTAATATCCTGAAGACACATGATGCTGTTTGATGCTGGTTAGTACTTGGATGGGAGACCACCATGAATCCAAGAAGTGGGATTCACAGATGCATTTTGCCTGGTCTACCAGTGTTTTTATTGTGCTTCTTTTTTGTCCTGGATGATGGTTGGAGTTCTTGTGCAGGTATCTGTCTGTATATGTGGGTTTTCTGTACACATACAGATACCTGCACAAGAACTCTAACCATCCCCCAGGACACAAAAGAAGCACAATAAAAATACTGGTAGACTGGGCAAAACGCATCTGTGAACCCCACTTCTTGGAAGAGTAACTGAAGCACCTAGACCGGGCTCAACAGACAAATGGTTACTTCAGCTCAGACATCAGAAGGACTGCCAGACCCAGGAAAACCCAGAAGAGTGAAGGCAAGCAACTACCCAAAGGGAAGGTATTTTTACCATATATCAAAGGAGTCACAGACAGAATAGGGAAAGTGGTGAGGAAACACAACCTCCAAATGGTTTACAAACCAACCAAGAAAATCCAACAAATGCTGCGCTCAGCGAAGGACAGGAGAGACCCTCTCACAGCCGCAGGAGTTTACCGCATACCATGCAGCTGCGGACAAGTCTACATAGGGACCACCAAACGCAGTGTACAAACACGAGTCAAGGAACATGAGAGACACTGCAGACTGGGCCAGCCAGAAAAATCAGCAGTAGCAGAACACATCATAAACCATGCTGGGCATAAAACGCTGTTTGAAAACACTGAAATTCTGGACAATGCTAACAACTATCAGGTCAGAATGCACAGGGAAGCCATTGAAATCCACAAACACTTGGATAACTTCAACAGGAAAGAAGAAACCCTTAAAGTAAACAAGGTTTGGCTACCAGTCCTGCAAAATAGAAAAATCAGCACTCAGCAAATGCAAATGGGAAACTAACCAGGGTCAGGGGCTTTCCCAGAAGACCATAGCAGATAATATCCTTGTTTGCATATCCTCTCACCCTGAAGCCATGCCATTAACAACAGAACAATACACAATCAACAACATAACAATACACAGGTTACATGGGAATCACTCCTCCCTACCCAGAGTTTCACAGTATATATAGACCCACTCTCTTTCATTTCAGTACTCTCTGAAGATGCCAGCCACAGATGCTGGTGAAACGTCAGAAAGAAACTCTTCTAGCCACACAGCCCAAAAAACCCACACAGCCCAAAAAACCCACAAAAAACTATGGATGCCGGCCATGAAAGCCTACGACTTCACAGTCTGGACACAATTTGGGGCTTTGTCCCTGCATCAGGACACAGTGAGCGTGAGGGTAATTTGGGGTAAATTACCCATGTAGACAAGCCCTAGGATTCCAGGAGACCAGGGTCCATATCTCCACTGAACCATGGAAGCCCACTGGGTAACCTTGGGCAAGTCACACTCTCTCATCTTCAGAGGAGGCAAGGGCAAACCACTTCTGAACAATTCTTGCCAAGACAATCCTGTGAAAGGTTCACTTTACGGTAACCATATATTGGAAAGGTCTTGAAGGCACACCACAACACAAGTATTGAATTGTCTGAATCGACCAATCCAGGATTCCTTCACCCTTCCCTTGTGTTGCACTGTTCTTACAGCCCTCTTTACCTTCTATGGCCAGTCTAATAATTAAGTTCTTAAATTTAATTACCTGTAGTTCATTTGCTTCCATTCACTTTTGAGGTTCTCTTTTCCTTCCTGTTTGCTTTATCAACTCACTGATTTCCTATATTATCTTCCTTATTTCTTCTGTTCTCAGTCTTCATTTGCTGCTTTTTAATTAATTTTCTCTCTCTCCCTGAGTTGTTCCATTCTTGGAGAATGCAATTACAACCTTCCTCTCTTATTGCTCTTGTGAGTTCTTATCTGTTTGAGGGTTGTTGTGGTTGTTTTGCATCAGCCACTGTACCTTCCTTGGACTGCTCCCTTTCCTATTTGAAATGGTTTCTCCCCCCCTAACATTTACAGTTGGCCCTCCTTATCCATGGATTTATTTTTATCCATGGATTCAACCATCCATAGCTTGAAAATCTTATATATATATTCCAAAAAGTGAAGCTGTATTTTGCCATTTTATATAAGGAGCACCATTTTACTATGCCATTGTATTCAATGGGACTTGAGCATCCATGGATTTTGGTATCCACAGGGGGTCCCACAACCAAACGCCAGCAGATACTAAGGGCCCACTTTGCTATCAGGTAAACAAGGTATTTTTTTTATTAAGTTAGATAATGATTAATTTTTGAACCTATTGATTATTGTGTGTGTGAGAGAGAGAAAACATGTGGGTTTATAAGCTATATGAATGGCAAACATGTTCACCAATAAGAATGTACAAGAATTGAGTGTACAAGAATGAATGAGTATACAAGAACTATGTTGTTGCATGCCTTCAAGCCATTATTCTTCCTTTCTTCCCAGTGGGACCCAAGGAGGCTCAAAGCATGAACTGAAACAATGCTTTGTTCATGTTGTTGTTCTGTGCCGTCAAGTTCTTTCTCACTTAAAATGAATCTATCACAGGTTTTTCTTGGCCAAATTTGTACAGAGAGGGTTTGCTTTTGCCTTCTTCTGAGGCTGAGAGAGTGGAACTCACCCAAGGCCACTCAGTGGGTTTCCATGGTTGAGCAGGGATTTGAACCTTGGCCTCTAGCATTGCAGTCCAATGCTCAAACCACTATGCTAGGTCTCTAAACCAAGGAACATTAATTTTAAAAAGGAATAAAAATATTTTAAAAAGCAAACCATAATAGTAATGCATCAGTACTATACAGCAATATAAAATCATTTTAAACAATTAAAATAATTATTTAAAATGCAGTACATACATCCCATTAAAGTTATATAGCCACTTAGGCTGTTGCCACACTGCAGAAATAAAGCAGTTTGATGTCATTTTAAATACTGTGACTCAATGCTATGGAATTCTGGGATTTTGTAGTTTGGTGGGACACCAGAGCTCTCTGACAGGGAAGAATTAACATCTCACAAAACTACAAACCCCAGAATTCCATAGCATTGAGCCATGACATTTAAAGCTTTGGCCAGGAAGGAGGAGGAGAAGGCTCTCCAGGCCACTTTCTAACA